GTGCTCTGTGATCGTGCTGAGCTGCACGTCTTTCGGGTTTGACATAAGAAGGACAGAGGCCAGGGCCTGACCTGCTCACTTTGTGGTCAAGGCCCCGAGGATGATTTTCTGGGGACCCGTCCCCTGGGTACCCATCGGAAGGGATGTTATTCCCTGTGGCCCTGGTCTTGGCCTGGGTTTGTGATGACAATGATCAAGTCCCCACTGTGTGTTAGGTGCTGCCTGAGCGAGCATTGTCTCCTGTATCCTTCACCTTGACCCCAGGAGGTGGGCTATACAGACAGACAGACCTAGGGGTCAGGGGACAGTGGCATTTTTCAAGTCTGAATCCCTACCCAGATCTGGCCAAGCCTAAAGCCCACTCATGCCCTCCTCCCGGCGCCACCACAGCCCCTCTGAGCCAGAAGGAACCGATTCTGGAGAGCTTTGTCTCTGAAAGTCGCATGGGATGAGAGTGAGGACAAAATCAAAGACCCCTTGGCCTCGGCCCCAGAACCTCCCCTTTCTCGTCACCCATCACGTGATGCTTCGTCTTGGGCTTGTTTGCGGGTGAGTTCTGCAGGGAGGTGGCCCAGCCCATGTCCGTGGGCCCGTCGGCCTGGCTCTGAGCTACCGACCGGCTCCCCCAGAGCCAGCTCTGACAGGTAGAGGGTCTGAAAGGCTCAGCTCACGTGGGCATCCCCTGGCCCAGCTCCTGAGGGGCCCTCCAAGGTTCTGGCTGCTTCCCCAGCCCCCCTGCCACACACACACACACCCGCCTCCCCACGCTGCCCTTCTTCCTGCTCAGCATTTCCTGGAGCTTTGGGTGTTGGGCACAGACCCGCAGCTGTCTCAGCATCTGCAGGAGCCCCAGGAGGCATCCGCACGAGCGTGAACTGCTGGCTTCTGCAGAACAGGACAGGGACCTTTGTCCAAGAGGTGCCCAACGCCAGAGGGACACTCACAGTGTCCCCAGGCCCCCCAGACTCCTCTGCGGTGACATCACCAGTGCAAGGGGGAGAGGAGGGTCAGAGGGCACAGCCCAGCCCCTCCCAGAGATGGTGGACTCAGTGTGGCCCCTGGGAGCCAGCGTGTTGTCAGTGGGACAAGGTCCCTCAGCCCCCCGCTTTTGCCCAGTGTTGGCTGGATGCCCGCTGTGTGCTGGGCCCTCAGAGCCACTGGGGACTCAGCAGGGCCAGGACAAACGAGAGTGGTCCCCAGGCACTTGCATCCCCATGGGCCAGAGAGACATCCAGGGATGGCTGCGGGCATGACGAATAGAAGTGTTCATTCACATAAATAACAAATGGGCACAATTTCATGCTCGAACAGTTACAGGTCAGTGTTGATTGCTTCGCTGGGACGTTAGTGCAGGCGCCCGTTCTGATGTGTGTGTGTCCAGTGTTGAGCTCGGGGGGAGGTGGGTGATGATGGATGCCTGGCCCAGGGGTCGAGGTGGGCAGGCAGTGAGTGAGCAACTAGAGCAGCGGTTCTCAACCTGTGGGTCACGACCCCTTTGGCGGGCGAACGACCCTTTCACAGGGGTCGCCTAAGACCATCTGCACATCAGATATTTACATGACGATTCATAACAGTAGCAACATGACAGTGATGAAGTAGCAACGAAAATAATTTTATGGTTGGGTCACAACATGAGGAACTGTAAAGGGCCAGAAGGCTGAGAACCACTGGATTAGAGGAAGTTAGAGTGAATACATGTGTGTGAATGAATGATGGTGTGAGAGTGTGAGTGTGTGTGTGCCTATGTGTCAGGGTATATGTGACAGTTGATAGTTGTGTGTAACTATGTGTGGAGTGTGTCTAAGTAAGTCTGAGTGCCCATGAGTGTGTGTGTGTGTGTCTATGAAGGCATATGTGTGTCCGTGTGGGAGTGTGTGTGTGTGTGTGTGTCTATGAAGGCATATGTGTGTCTGTGTGGGAGTGTGTGAGGTGTGCAGGGGTGTGAGTGATCAGACGTGGTATGGGTGTAGATGTGTGAGTGGGGGCATGTTGTGTATGACAGTGCATGTGTGAGGGTCTGTATGCATGTGTTAGAGTGTTCTGGTTATGTGAGTGAGCGTGTGGGTATGAGTGAGCACGATGGGTGTGCCCATGTGTGTGTCTGGGGAAGGGTGAGTGTGTGTCCATGTGGATGTGTGGATTTGTGTGTGGTGGTGGGTGTAGGTGAGCACGTTTGTGGGTGTGAGTAGGTGTGATATGTGAGTGTATGTGAGAGTGTG